ACCCATGATGCTATAAGTCAAAGGCAGTGACACTGACATTCAGATTCAGCAGATCTATTACCGAATCAGATCTAAACTAAATTAGGGCCAATCTTTCTCTTGCATGAATTCCAAAAGCAGCCACCCATTCAAAGAATAGATTCCAAGAACTATCTTTCTATGCATTCAGTCAAGTAACCACTCCAGCTAATCTTGTTGGGTAGTACCTATCCAAATCTCATTCAAAAAAAATCGCCAATGTGAATCCAATCAAGATATTGAAGAATAGCACAGAATATTCTAAAACAATACTTCCTGAAAATATTTTCTGCACAAGAAATGAAGCTGTTAAAAAAAGCCCAATCCAACCAAAATGAAGCACTACCATTCCATTCTTCTAAGTTCCATATGTTTCAGTGGGAGACAAACTGCATCCTAAATATGTTTAGCAGAGAGTAGGATTGGATGGAGCTGTCTGTTTCAAGCCAATTTCATGTGTGTCGATTTTGCATTTTTTAAAAAAATTCCGCAATAAAAATAGTTTTAAAAAGGTATTTCAATATGCATTTCAATATACACCTACATGTATTTTATCCAAAATACCCGTGTTGATACATTTTGCTACATTTGAGCCAGGAAATGTATCACAAAATTCAGAGAAGCACAGAATCCAAGAGATAATTAACATTCCAATCCGTTCATTCATATTAATATGCATCAGATTTCACAGAAAATCAAATTCCTCACCCAGCTCTACTTAAGAGTAAGTACCACTGAACATTGTGGTTATTGCTTCCAAGTTTTTTTTTAAAAGCCACATAGGATGTACTGGCAAGAACAAGGTTTAACTCCTTCCTGTTCTGTTCAATTGAGCGTACAGCATGATCTTAAGAATCATAATCAGAAGCAAGCCCCACAGAGTTCAGCTGGAACGGCTCAGTAGTAATTCAGACCATTTAAAAGTTAAGCACTTTTAACAAAGCTGGAACAGAGTTCCATTCCTCCCCCTCCATTTACTTTGGACTCTATACTGACAGGGGAAAAGTACAAGATTGCAACCATTAGCGAAACCCACTCAGATTTCCTATAAATGGTAGGCTACTTTTGGTAAAATCTACTTTTTTGCTCCGATCAAGATTCTTCTCCAGCAGCATAGCAATGGAGAGAAAATGCCTGACTCTTTAAGAAGATGGGAACACCTACAGCCACAGCAAAATGTGCAAAATGTACTAAAGTATCCAATGTGCACAACTGTCTACATCTGCAATATTCTAGACCTAGCACACCTTTGTACGTATGCTTATACAGTGGTACCTCGGGTTAAGTACTTAATTCGTTTCAGAGGTGTGCTCTTAACCTGAAACTGTTCTTAACCTGAAGCACCGCTTTAGTTAATGGGGCCTCCTGCTGCCACCGCGCCGCTGGGGCACGATTTCTGTTCTCATTCTGAAGCAAAGTTCTTAACCTGAAGCACTATTTCTGGGTCTGTAACCTGAAGCGTATATAACCTGAAGCGTATGTAACCTGAGGTACCACTGTAGTGCCTTTGTTTCTCTTTGAGTTCTATAGATACAATAAAACCACCTTCATTCAAGCAGTTTTGCAAGGCCGTCCTAAACATTAAAGGGAACACTAAGTGCACAGGGGGTTTTTTGCACTGACTGCAAAGAATTAGACACAGGTTGTATTATCAGGCAAACTTATTTGGGAGTAAATTGCACTGAACCAAGGCAGAATTACTTCTGAGTAAACATGCACACTCTCGGGATGCAAGTGTGGTATGAATATTGAAAAGTTACAGATAAGCAAATCCTTATACAGTGGTACGACCCTCTCCAATTCCACTTTCCTGGTCAAATTCAGTATGCCCCCAATTTATTCCTAAAGTGACCAATTACAAGCACAGTGTGTAATTCGCTTATTGGGGGTGGCTTTAAGAATAAAAGCTAAACCATTTCATCACAGACAGACCAACTGACAACTGTTAGGTAAAGGGGCTGATTATTATGATGTTCCAGCCCTGAAGAACAAATGTGGTGATAAACAGCAGAGGAGGACTTAGGGAGCTGCCTTATACAAAGTCAAATCATTTGTCCATCCATCTCAGTGTTATCTACTGTACTTGCAGGAGCTTTCCAGGGTTCTAGCTAGGAGACTTTCACAACTGTTAGGGAGATCCAGAAGAACTGAGCTGGCAACCTGGGAACATGTGTGCTATCATTAAGCTATGGCCTTTCCACCATCACTCTCATGCCTAACTTGTGAATGTCCTCATGGCATAAAGCTGCTTTCTGCAAGGAACTGAATACTGCATGAGATGGATCAAATGGATGTTTAATTTCTACCATAATCACACATTCCTATAAGCCTATGCCTTACATGTCTAGGCAGCTTGGTTCCTGCTCTCCAACGCACTTCACAAACATAGATGTGTTAGATTTGGTGGTTATTCGGTTTTGGGGAGGGGGGAATCACTCTGTACATGCTCAGTGGAACCATATTACATCTTTACATATCCCAAGGGTAGTGCAACCAGGTTTTAAGGCACTGGTTGTAAAGCAGTGGGGGGGCGGAGAGAATAAACTCTGACATTTACTAAATTTCAACTCATTTCAGGGCCTCCCAACTCAACACCCATTTGGGAGGATGTGCAAAAATCTTTGCACATAGTCATGAGGACTTCAGCTTCCATGTGTGCAAGAACTGGGGATTTGGAGGAGCAAACCCCACTTTGTCTTTATAAGAGTACAACAGGAGCACCTCTGCTTATGCCTAAAAGCTACGCAACCAGGGAAACACTAAAACAACAAGGGAAGACTCAGCAGTAGAGCACAACACAGACAGTCCTGGGCACAACTGGCAGCCTCTGCAAGTAGACCTAAGAAAAGACCCAGTCTGAAACCCTGAAGATTTTCTGCCAGTCAGGGTAGACCGGGGGCAGTCAACATGGTGATGGCCATTGTCATTGGACTACAACTCCCATCATCCCTGATCATTGGCATTGCTGGCTGGGACTGATGGGAGTTTAACCCAACATGTGGAGGGCACCATGCCGGCTACCTCTAGCATAGACCATGATGAGCTGGATGGATGAATGCCCTGACTTGGCTAGTCTTATAAGAGCAAAATAGTACCTCTACCTAAGCTTCCTTGTTCCAGATACATGTCTTTGTCTCTCTCAAATACACACACACACAACCAAGTTCATAACTGGTGATGGAGAAAGGAAGGAACCCCTGCATACTTTATGCCGCCCCAATGGCTTGCGTCCCACAAATTGAGAAGCTGTTGCTGTTAAGGTCTGAGGAATTAAATTATTGCTTATCTGTACTGGTTATGATGGGAACACCAACCAGCACCAACAGCCCTGTGGGAAGGAAGATAAGAGCAAGGGAGGCAGGCAAAGGCTAGATTGCGGCCTCTGCAATGAGACAACTGTGCCCCCATCCTATTCCACACCGCAAGTCACAGGTCCAGATTTATATTTTGTTTTAGTATTTTAAAGTGTTAAACTGCCTTGGGTGCCTTTGCAGAAAGGGGAGATAGACAGATAGACAGATGATAGATAGATAGATAGATAGATAGATAGATAGATGATAGATAGATAGATAGATGATAGATAGATGCAATAAATAAACAAATTGTGCCAGGTTGTGCCATTTGCATATTATATTTTACTGGTTGTGTTTTTTTCTTTTAAACTAGGTAACCTGCTCCGAGACCTTCAACTGAAAGGTGAGTAATTAACACACCTGCTTAATTAAATTAATTGATTAGTAATACTAAGCAATGTATCAAACCCTCAGTGGGGGGGGAGGAAATGGGGAGAGCTCTATTCCCTGGACCTTTCTAAACATTGTTGATGTTTTTCTGTTGGTGGTGTGGGGGGGGGGAAGGAATGACTGTCAACAACATCCACCAACTAGGGAGTCAGCTCCTGAAAGAATTATAGTGATCTTTTGTGAATTGTTTTCCATGGTTTAAGGTTGGCGGGGGGGGGGGGACGACAGAGAGTTGCTTCCAACCAAATCAGGCAAAAAGCACTTATTTGCCTCAAATTGGCGGCTAAAATGTGCCAGGAGTGAGAGACTAGGCCGAGCTAGCGCTGTGCTTTGCGTTGCCATGGGAACGGAATGCAGATTTCCCCAATTGCTTTTTTATTTGCTAGACATTGTAATACATATTATGTTTCAACTCTGGGGTTTGCAGTGGAGGTAAAGAATCCTTTATGAATGTTAACCATTCAGGCAACTTGGAGGAGGGGAGGTGGTTTGTCGGCGAGAGAGAGACAGAAAAGTCTCAGCAGTTAAAACAGGTAGTTTATATGCAGGCAGAGTCTCAATGTTAAAGTCTGGCCCTAGGAACCAGGCCCCTTTCTATTCAAGAAACTCTCCCTTCATTTCTGCTCCACTTCACTCTGCACAGAGACCCCCAACTCCACACAAAAGCAGCTGCCAAAGCCCGTGAAAAGTGATCAAATTATCAAGAACTTGACCTCACAGAGGGGGCAGAGTTTTGGGGGAGAGGCCTGTAACAAACCCAAACCAAGGAAGAGCCTGGAAAAGCGGGGGGGGGGGCGTGTAGTGTGCTTGAGAGAAATTCCAAATGCTAATAGGCTTTCTACATAGAATAATTTGATCAAGGGGCATTGTTGCAAAAGAGTTCAGACACACTCGCTGCTTCACACACACACACCCAGCAGCCTCTTCCTCCTCGCACTTTGCACTGTCTTAATAGTTTGGGGTGCATCTACAAGACTTGCAAATTAATTTCAGGCCATATATATCTGCGTGCACAGATACACACATCTATTTGGATCATTTGTGTTTTCTGCTACCTCCCACTTGCCCCCCCCCCCCAGGTTCTCACAAGCCTGCTCCGGTTTGGTTTCTGGCCATTTGCATGCACGCACACACACACTTGCTGAGGGCAGGGGAAAAGAGTGAATCGTCATTAAAACTCCTAAAACAACAAGCACATTAGCAAGAAACATAAAGCAGCAATCATATATAGGAGGATACCTGTATTGAAGCAACGCGGGGAGCATTTCTCAAACGCCAGCAGCCGCAGACAACTTCATTCCCTGAGAATCTTGATCTTTTGGCTTCGCTTTCTTTCCCCTTGTCTCCAGCTCCCCGGACTTTTCCTCCTCCTTCTTCTTCTTCCGTGCTGCTCCTCTTCGCCTCCCAGCTCCCAGAAGTCTTTGGAAGTCATTTCTACTTTCGGTTATCTAGCTTTATGATGGCTTGATAACACTCATACAGCTAGATAACCAAAGACAGAAACAGCCCTCCCTCTTCCGAGGCGTCTTCTTGCTTTCCTCCCCTCCACTTTTTCTCTCTATCTCTTTTCTTTTTTTTCTCCCCTCCTCATAAAGCTGGGCTCAACTTGGCGGGGGTAGCAGAAGAAAAAACAAGAGTGGCGAGGTTTGGATCTTCGATCTGCCATCGAGAAAGCAAAAAAAAAAAAAAGGAGGAGAGAGAAAGAGATAAAAGAAAGTGAAACTTTTATGGAAGACGAGAGAAGAAAAAGAGCAGCGTTGCATTCATTTAAGAAGGAAAAGCGGGAGAAGGACCTGCTCTGCAGGTTATGGCTGGCAGAAGTCACCCATTGCTGAGTTCTGACTATCTGAAATGAGCCATTTCCCTTCGGGGGAAGCAGCTGGTTTACATTCAAATCACACCCTGAGATATTGGGCTGATGTCTCGCCCTCTTTCTACTGACCAAGTTCTATACTCCTTTTCTGATGCTAAACACCCTTCTTTGGGAAGTGACGTCAACAGGTCTGGCAGCCAATGGGCGGCCTCGCATTCAAATCACCTCTCCTTCCCGCCTCTTTTGCTCTTTCCCTCCCACGCCTCCCCACCCAACACACATTCCGCCCCTTTCCTTTTAGGCAACAATATTTCTTTGAAGTCTGCCATACGAAGCCCCAGCCCTCTCTCCCTGCCTGAGTTAAGGCCTGCAACACAACCTTGTGCCATTTCACTTGGCAGCCAGCCCCACTGAAGTGAACGGGGCTTCCTGCAACGCACATTTCCTCTTTTCTGGGGGGCTCAAAGAAACCCACTGCGTCTTGATTTTGTTCAATGGGGGCTTCCAGTCTAAACCCTGGGTGCCGCAAATTAAGATCTGAACGAGCGGTCAGCCCCTTGACTAAGGGCGATCTAACACCACTTTGTTGGGAGGTGGGGCGTGGGGGAGGCCTGGGATTTTGCAGACTCTTGGGGGGGGGGTGAAATCAGATCATTTTAAAATCACTGGGGATGGAGAGGATTCTTGCACTCCGCAACACGAAAGAGGAGCCCTTCTCACGTCCCAGGGCCCGATCCAGCGAAAGTTAAGCCCTATGAAGTTCCCTTGAGTTCATTGGGAGAGATTTAGACACTTGCTAAGGGCTGCAGCAAAACGTGCCCGATTATGGCCCCTATCCCATACATGTTTAAATCGTCACATTGAGCTATTAGCATGGGGAGGGGGCTTCTTCTTAGGTTGGAACGCGTAGGACAGCAGTTATGCTTGAGATTAAGTTCCAACGAGTTTTGTGGGGTTTTATTTTTACTTTTAGTAAAAAAAAATACCCAAACCCCAGCCAATACATTTCTCTCCTGTTGAAAAACCCCCAAATGTAAAGTGTTTAATGTTGTCCGGATTCCTGTCTCCCAACACATTTAAAAAAAAATTTATAAATAAATAAATTAAAATTAAAGCAGAGACAGTTTCCCTCTTGAAACAAACACGGGAATGGCAAAAATGAGTTTGGGGAGCCTAATCGTTCAGTATATTTTCTCCTCTGAACGATGCATTTTTCCCTAGAAGAATTGAAAATGGAAAACAAGTGCCTTGGGGGGGAAAAATTCCCCAGTTACGAAATATGAATTATCTCGTATTTTTCTACGGCCTCCAGCCTCTCACTTACAGTGCACACCTATTGCAACACGCCCTTGGCTCCAGCACTCTATCAAATAAGCACCACCCAGAATTAGGAGGCGAGATGATTAAAATAAATAAATGGTTTGATCCCTTTCTTCTTCTTGTAACGCGTCTTTGCTTTGATCTGCTGTGTGCGGAAGACACCCGCCTCACCTTCAGCACCAACGCCTCGCTCCTCAACGCGTTTTAACACACTGGAGCGATCGACAACGAGCGATAGGCAACGTGCTCACAGATCAAACAATACAGGCATTAGAAGCGATTACTGTCTGAACCGGCATCAGACACAATCTCTCCTTCTATCGGGTTTCCAAAGGGTCCCCAAACCGAGATCAGATCCGGAAATGCAACGCGAAGCATGTTTGATTGAAAACGAGCAGAGAGTGAAGGGGAAGGTTAGAAGCCTGCGCAAGGGAGCCAGAGGACCTAAGGAATTCTAGAATAGCGAATCAACAGCCTCGGATCCACCCTTTATTCCGAAATAAAGGTAACATACAACAGGCCAACGCCAAGCACATTTTCAGTGGAACTCCTATACATGTCTACTCAGAAGGCAGGTCTTTTTTTTAGCTCAATGAGACTTACTTGCAGGTAAGTGCAGGCGGAGGACTGCAGTTTAAATCACAGCAGGTTACTGATCTCAATGCACCAAGGTATATGTGACACATTTTCCACAGAATCCTGGAATTATAGAGTTGGAAGGGACCACGAGGGTCATATTGTCCAACCCACTACAATGCAGGAATCTTTTGCCCAACGCGGGGCTCGAACTCACGGCTCTAAGATTAAGAATCTCGTGCTCTACCGATTGAGCCATCCACGCCTAAAAAGCCTTCTAACCTCACATCCAGATTACATTCCCTGCATGGAATTCTAGATTGCTGCTAATCTCAGAAGGCGGAGGGATCTAACTGACTCCACAATCCTGCGCCTACTTACCCAGAGGTAAATCTCACTGTGTTTCCGGAGACTTAGGTTGCGACCCTTAATCCCATTTTCCTGTAACCAAAAACCCCGCTTGAATTCCACAGGACTTACTTCTGAGGATATCAACTTGCCTCTGGATAGAAATGATTAGAGTTGCGCTGAAGTGAGTGGGTTTAGGATTGCAAGTCCAAACCGGCTGATATCCAGGCACTAGGCTCACCCTTATGCCACTGGGGCGAGAGAGATCAAGAAGATTCTCCACTCCCTGGATTCCATTCTAGCGCGCATTCCCAAAAGCAATCCAGCCTTTTCGGATTCTTTTTTTGAATGTTTAGGAGGGAGACATAGATCTCTGCTTTTAACCATTTTCAAAAGGCTCTTTCCTGTTTTCCTATCGCTATGCAGGCGCGCGCGCACACATCTAATATAATATAATCTAATAATTAGATAGATTATATTGGGTAAGGGGGGTCTTTCTTATCTCCGGGCTCTTGACCTGCACAAAGCACCAATGGATATGATCTAATAGCTTATTCTAGTTCAAAAATTAAATCAACATTAAATCAACATTCTCGCGTGATTTTTTACCCCTATACAGATTTTTTTTTGATTTTTTAAAAAAACTAGCTACAAGGCTAATGGCTAGTTTAATAAACGGCCTCGGAAGTAAATTCCTTTGATTTCATCAAAACTTACTTCCAAGTAATGTTAGGACTGAAGCTCTAAGGAAACACTAGAGTTCTCTGAATACCCCCAGGCAAAATCTTTACGCACCGCCTTCCAGGTACAATGGAAAAGGGACCTTAAGGGGCTCTCAGGCCATTCAGTAGGTCAAACCGATACACTTAGACTGAAACTAAGTCAGTGGAACAGGTATCCACCGAAAATCCTGACTATGTCAATAAGTCGTAATTTCGGAGGAGGTCCACGAGGTCCGGTGTTCTAATTCCAGAACCTTTGAATGATCGGTGGGATTTGATTTCCTGGACGACGCCCTCCGCCTCCGCCTCCATTCCCCCCACCATTTCTTGGAGGAAAATTAGGCTCCTTCACTCTCCCCCACCCTCCGTTTTCTTTTAATTTTGACTCGGAACAAACACGCTTTAAAAACACCGCTCCACCCCACCGGGCGAATGGTGCACGCGTTGTTGCCGTTTGAAAGGATCTGATTGGGTGGGACTGAGAACGTGTGGATCAAACCGGAGTGAAAGCAGTGAATGGGATCTGACTTCGGATCAGAAGTAGATCTGCAACTCCCTCCCCTCCTCCCACGGCCTAATCCAGTGTATTTGCAAGACAGATTGTTTTAAAGGACTAATCTTGAATTAGATTTCCCTGGACTAGAAGACTGGTGGGAAAGCGGGGGAAAGATACTGAACATTGAGAATTTGGGGTTTTCAAACAAAATCCAAATATTACTGATCCTCTCCCCAGGTCCAGGGGAAATTATTGAAGATTTTCCTAAAAGAAGAAGGTGTGGTTCTCTTTAGTAAAGGGTGATTATCCGTGGCTGGCTAGTAGGTCCTCCGCTTAGTACCCATCCCCAAAATTCCACCTTCTCGAACGCCATTTCCCAAATGCTCACACTTCTGTATAGAGTCTTAATGTTCTGCGCCTCCCCTTACATGTTTCGGTGAAAATATAAAACCTTTCCGCCTGAGTCCACGTCTGTTGCCCGCAGGGCCCGGCACCTTTGCAGGAGCGAAATATGCGGTGCAGTGGTGGGGAGGGGCGTGTGGATGATGCTGTCTCAATTTATTTTATTTTCCGTGTGGGTTGCAAGCGAAGGGAAGGGAAGGCCCATCAAGTTCCGAAGATTTCTAGCGAAAAGGCATTCGGAATGATGTTCTGGGTTCCACGGACATTCATTCTAGGGTTTGCGATTGAATCAAGGATGGGGAACTGGTGAAACACACACACACCCGGGTGTTACTGGACCCCAACTCGCATTGCGCCAGGCATCGTGTGGAAAGTGGTCAGGGATGATGGGAAATGTAGTCCAGGAAGGATCTGGAAGGTCACCGGTTCCCCTTCTCGGAATAAAACGAGGCGCCCCCCCCCTTCCAATCTGGTCTTGTAGAAACGCGCCGCTCGTTTCTGCCTGTACTGTTGTTGCTGCTTCTCCTCCTGCGTGGAAAACAGAAGCAGGCATCTCAAGGCCAAGCGCGCGATATTTCCTCCAGCGCCTGAACAGGATGACTGTAAAACATGCAAGGAAAATCCTTGCCTTCATTATTTCTCTGTGCGCAAATACGCAGAAGCCACTTGGACGAGCTGATTTCTGCCCCCCGCCCCCGCTCCATCACACAGGTAGCTTGCAAGCTAGGCAGACGATTCGATAACCTAAATCCAGAACCGACAGGTTCTGCCACAGTCAGAGTGTCTTAGCCTTTAAGGTACTACAAGACTCTGTTTTTGCTGCAACCGACAGGCATGGCTACCCCTCTGCAAGCATGCTAAATCTAAAACGCTGTCGTTGCCATTAAATGTGTGTGTGTGTCACATTGACTTGTCTCCTCTAGTCAATATTCTATGCATCTG